GCCTGCTGTGTTCATCCAGCTCTACACTGCGTTAACTCTTCCTACAGTGTGGTGAGCAGAACTGCACAGAATAATCCAGCTATGGCCTAACCTAAGTTCTGTACAGCTCCAAAATGACTTCCCTGCTCTTATAATCTTTGCCATAACTGATAAAGGCAAGCATTCCATATGCAGCCTTATTGATCTGTCCTGCAACTGTCAGGAATCTGTGAGGGATGCCAGGATTCCCCTGTCCCTTGGGGCTTCTTAGGGTCTTGCTATTCATTGAGTACACCCTTCTCTTGTACCTTGTTCTAAAGTGCATCACCATTAAATTCCGTCTGTCACTATTCTGCTCATCTACCAATCGTTTATATCTTCCTGTAACTTAACACTTCCTCCTCATTGTCAACCACCCGCCCAATCTTAAATGTTATCAGCACGCAGTACCTATCATCTCTTCCACGTTATAATCTACAGCATTTGTCAATATTACAAACAATAAGGGACCCAGCACTCATCCCTGTGGTAATCCACTGCACAGTTACATAAACTGCCTTCAACCACCGCCCTTTGTCTCCTGTCACTAAGCCAAGTTACTCTGGATCCCTGGAGCTTTTACCTTCTTTATCAGTTTCCCATGTGGGAGCTTGTCAAGGGCCTTGCTGAAATCCTCATAAACTACATAACTGCCTTACCCACATCCAAACACTTGGTCACCTCCTTGAAAAATTCCACCAGATCCCTTCCCTCTGACAAAGCGATGCAGATGATCCCTAAGCAAACCTTGCCTCTCTAAATGGAGAATATACATGTTCTCCTTCACTGTTTTCTCAAATAGTTTCCGTACCACTGATGGTAAGTTCACTGGCCTAGAATTCTCTGGTCTATCTCTGCCAAGTCTTACCTGTCTCTACCTGGATGTACTTCGATGAGTCTCTTTATTTCCATGCCCCATGTCTTTCCAGGGCTATTACATCCACCTATCACTACGATTTCTCATTTATCCCTGCCTCAATACTGTTACTTACACCTCTCCATTAATGTCTTTTCACCTCCCCTCTCCTGGCCAGTCATCTCTCACCTCACATCACCTTGCCTGTCATTCCCATTCAACCTCATTTCTTCATCTGCCCTCTATCCTATCTCCTCCTTTCAATTCTTTCGACCCTTCACATAAATCCTTTCCATTCGTATCCATTACCTCTCCTCCTTCCACCATATCTTACCTGTGCTCCAATATTGAATGACATCCCTTATATTTGAATTTTCAGGCTATGCAGCAGAGAACTCACTGAAGTGAGACAAAGTGATTAATGCATACTGCTTGAGCTGCATTTTTGTGATCAAACAACAGTAAAACTAATAGCATTCACCGTTATTAACCTTTAAGTCGACAATAACAGTTAAATCAATAAATCAAGAATTTGCTGCCCTGCTCCTTCAGAAAGTTGCATGATTATTTCCTCTTCCTGAGAGCTACACTGTTAAAATAAATCGAATTGTGTCAGGTTGCTGTGCTTGCCTGATATGAGCACTAAGCTCACATGAAGAAGTTAGGCTTTGACCATTTCAGTGTTTAGGCTGAGAGGAACTTCCCATATAAAAATCAGTGGACAATGGTAGCAACCCTACAATGCAGTTAGAGGGCATTTAGACCATTGAGTCTGCTCTGACCCTTTGAAGAGCATCCCACTCAGACCCCCCCACCCTATCCCTGTGACCCTGCAACCCTGCATTTTCCAAGGCTAGCCTGCACATCCCTGGATGCTCTGGGGCAATTTAGCATGGCCAATCCACCTAGCCTGCACATCTTTGGACTGTGGGAGGAAACTGGAGCACCTGGTGGAAACCCACACAAACACACAGAGAGTCACCTGAGGCTGGAGTTGAACCCAGGTCCCTGGTGCTGTGAGGTTGCAGTGCTAACCACTGAGCCACCGCACTGCCCCATGGCAAATAATAGTTGCTGAATCCCAACCACTTATCTTTTGGCTCAGTGGTTCTCTCCTACTTAAGTTATGGAGTATTCATTGATACTTTCCATTTAATAAAGACCTGTGCAGGAATTTAACCTTATCTAAGTTGGACTTGATTTCGTATTAACATATCAATTTATCAGAAAACGCTATCTTAACGGTATGCTCTCTTCTAGATATGTTAAATTTTATTTGTTTTTAATAACACCATCTGGAACAACTGCATTGTAGTAATGACTTTTGCAAGGTTCTTTGATTCATTGTGCTGCCTGCTATGTCTCCTTTGGGCTTTCTATTGGTATTAAACTCAAAGTATTATTTTCACAACAGATTGCTGTTATAAATTACAATCTTCATTCTCATTTACTATTAGACAACTGTGGCATTTAATTTTAAATTTTATTGATAGAGAGAAGAGAGGAAAGCCTATGAAAATGTCCAGTAAAAGTCAATGTTGTCAAAATGTACTAATGTGTGAAAAAAATGTGTGGGCTTTCTGGGAATGATAATAACTAGGATATCCATCTATGAAAGTGTGGCGGAGCCTGGGACTAGGTGGGATATGGAGCTGTGAAAAAGTGGAGTATCTGGGAAATGGGTGGGTTATGGGTCTTTGAAGGTTTGGTACCTGGAATGGATGGGATATGGGCCTCTGGAAGAGTTGGGGAGGGGTGGGGAGGTAGGAAATATGAAGGAGTGACGAACCTGGGAAAGGGTGAGCGATGGGTATGGGGAAGTGTGGGGTATGTGGGATATGGTTGTATAAAAGTGAAGGATACCTGAATGTGTGGGATATAAGGTGAAAACTGTAAACAGATGTTTTTTCTTTTATACATTTTTTTTAAATGCAGGAGTCTGAAGCATTGGGCTGTTCCCCTGACAGAATATTTAAAGTGGTGTTCATTGGAAATTCAGGTGTTGGAAAGAGCTCATTTATCCATCGATTCTGCAATGACCGATTTCTTTCAGAGATTAATCCAACAATTGGTAAATATGAAACTTCTGACTGTGCACTTTAAAAGTTCTGTTCTTACCTTTTATTTAGTTGTGATTGATGTATTGTGATTGGAATGTTTTGTAAATTGTACTGGGGTCCTGCTCAAACAGTTGATGTGACATTCAAAACTGGCCATTCTTGATCCATAATCCTCAATTCCACATAATTGAGGCTAACACTTGAGTTCAAAATTGAGGGAGTGTTTCGATTTGGAAGAGTTATCTCTCAGATTCTCATCATAAGTTGAGACCTTCATTTACCCTTCCAAGAAGACACGGTAGCTCAGTGGTTAGCACTGCTGCCTCACAGCACCAGGGACCTGGGTTCAATTCCACCCTTGGCCAACTATCTGTGTGGAATTTGCACATTCTCCCCATGTATGCATGGATTTCTTCTGGGTGCTCTGGTTTCCTCCCACGGTCCAAAGATGTGCAGGCTAGGTGGATTGGCCATGCTAAATTGCCCGTAGTGTTCAGGGATGTGTAGATTAGATGGGTTATAGGGGCATGGGTCTGGGTGGGATGCTCTAAGGATCAGTATGGACTTGTTGGGCTGAAGGGCCTGTTTGCACACTGTAGGGATTCTATGATGAAAAAGGAAGAGTGGGGGTGTGGGGGGCAGTGGTTTCCCTGGAGTTCTGATTAACATTTATCCCTTAAACCGACAAAAAAACTAGATTATCTAGTCAGATTTATGTTTTTTACTCATTGAATGTTGGCCTGCTTGGCGAAAACAGCATTTTTGGCTGTCCCTAACCACCTTTGAGAAGACAGTGGTGAGCTGCATTGTTGAACTGCTGCTGTTTTAGTGGTGTAGGTACAAAGTGTTGCGTAGAGAGTTTCAGGATTTTGACCCAATGATGTAAAGGAATAGTGATATAATTCCAAGTTAGGCTGGCGTGCGTCTTGGTGGGAAACCTGGTGGTTGTGTTTCCATGAAGCTGCTACCCCTGCCATTCTAGGTGCTAGAAATCACAGGCTTGGAAGGTGCTGTTGGAGGGACCTTGCATCCTGCACGTGGTACACACAATGCTGCCACCGTGTGTGTGGGCAGAGGGAGTGAATATTGATGGTTGTGGTTGGGGTGCCAGTTAATTAGATTTCTTTGTCCTGAATTTTGCTGAGCTTCTTGAATGTTTTTGGAGCTGCACTCATGCAGGCAAGTGAAGAATATTCCATCATGTTCCTGATTTGTGCCTGGATAGGGTTTGTGGAGATAGGAAGTGAGTTATTTGCCATTAAATTTTCAGTCTCAGACTTGTAGTGACAGTATTTATATAGCTAGTCCAATTTTATTTCTGGTCAATGGACTCACGTGTTGGTAACAGGTGATTAATTGATAGTAATACCATTGAATTTCAAGTGATGATGGTTGTATTGTCTCTGGTGGAGATGGTCATTTCCTGGCAAGTGTGTGGTGCAAATATTACCTGCCATTACCTGCCTTGCCTGGAAGTTGTCCAGGTCTTGCTGTAAGTTGTTATGGTCTGTTTTACCATTTTTGGCATTATGAACGGTTCTGTGCCGTCATCAGTGAACATCCCCACTTCTGACTTATGAAGGAGCAAAGGTTATTGATGAGGGAGCTGAAGGTGGTGGGGTCTCGAATGTTACCCTGAGAAATCCTGCAGTGATGACCTGCGAATATCCAAAAACCGCAACCGTCTTCCTTTATGTGAGGTAGGATTCCAACTAGTGAAGAGTTTTCCCTTGAATCCCATTGACTTCAATTTTCCTCCTTCATGCAATTGTCAGTCAACTGCTGCTGCCTTGATGTCAAGGGCAGTTACTCTCACCTCACTCTAAAGTTCAGCTCCTTTCTCCATGTTTAACTAAGGCTGATGTGAGGTCAGGAGATGAGTGGCCCTTGCAGAACCTAATCTGTGCATCTGTGAGCAGGTTATTGATGTGCAAGTGCCAGTTAATAGTACTGTTGATGATGCTTTCCAGCATTTTGCTGAGGATCAAGAGAAGCCTGATGAGATGGTAATTAGCTGGGTTGGATTTAGCTTGCTTTCTCGTGTGCCGGACGGTACCTGGACAATTTTCCATCTTGTCAGTAGATATCATTGTCACTATTGGAACACTTGGTTATGGGCATGGCTTGTTCTAGGACACAAATCTTTACTACCTCGGTCAGGATGTTGCCAGGGTTCATTGTCTCTGCAATAACCAATATCTCCAGCTGTTTCTTGATATCATGTGGAATTAATAGAATTGGCTGAAGACTGGTATTTATCATACTGAGGATCTTAGGAGGAGGCCTTAATGGATCAGTTTGCTCAACACCTCTAGCTGAGTTGCAAATGTTTCAATATTATCTTTTGTACTCAACTCCTCAACATTGAAAATTAGGATATTTTCGGAGTCTTCTCCTCCGGTTGGCTGTTCGATTATCCATCACCATTCACAACTGGATGATTCTGACAGGACCTCAGAGCTTTTTTTTTTCTAATCTGTTGATTGTGGGATTTCTTCGTGCCATGTGCTTAGCTGCACCAAGTTGATTACTCATTTTTAGGAATGCCTGGTGCACCTCTGGCATGCCATGTTGAACTCTTCATAGAACCAAAGTTATTGCCCCTCTTTGGTTGTAACAGCAGAGCATGGGGTAGGCTGGACCATGATGTTCAAGATTGTAATCGAATAGAAGTATGCTACTGCTGAATGTCCACAGCGTCTCAGGATACTCGGTTCGGAGTTGGTACATTTGTTTGAAATTTCTAGATTTAACACAACTGTGATGGCATTTAACATAATGCAGGGTTTCCTCAATATGAAGATGGGACTTTGGAATTCCATTCCTGCTTGTGAGACATTTTATTATGTTTCCTACATCACAACTTAATTCAAAAACTTAACTGGCTCTGAAACATTCTTGGTTGGGGAAGGTGCAATATGACTGGAAGTCCTTGTTTCTCTTGACTTTGTCCAGTGCCAGGGTATTTGACACATGCCATGTTTGAGTTGGATTTCTCTTCAGAGAGATACACTTTTCAGCTAAATAATCAGAATTGGTACCCTGGCACCAAAATGATGCTTCGCAAATACTTCAGGTGCATGTCAAAAAATTCCATCCACCTCTTGATATTATTGGAGGTATTCCAAATAAAAAGCAGAACGGAATCTTTGATGAATATGCTGAGTATTTGTATGCTGGTTATTGTTGTATGTATCGTCACCATCATCTTTAAGTGTAGCAAGATACAGGACCTAGTTGATAGTGAAAAAGCAATTTCCTGGTTTAACTAGAAGAGGCTCTTGCATTGACAAAAAGTAGTTTATTGCATGTTGTCAACTAGTTACAAGTTACATTAGACATTGTGACAGAGACCAAGAGGCGAACCTGGATGTTGGGTCATACTCCTTTGATAACCTAAACTGTTCTTTCCCTCTTTCGTCTTAATGGGTAGTGCTTAGGTCTTTCTCAGTATTAGCCCTTTCAGACACTTGCAATGTTGTACAATGGAATCCAATGGCATAGTTATAGACAAAAACAGCAATTGCTGAAGAAACTCAGCCAACCTGGCAGCATCTGTGGAGAGAAGGCAGACCCAACATTTCGGGTCCAGTGACTTCTCTTCAGGACAGATTTCTGGTTGACAAGTGAGATAACAAGGTGTAGAGCTGGATGAACACAGCAGGCCAAGCAGCATCAGAGGAGCAGGAAGGCTGACGTTTCGGGCCTAGACCCTTCTTAACGTCAGCTTTCCTGCTCCTCTGATGCTGCTTGGCCTGCTGTGTTTATCCAGCTGTACACTTCGTTATCTCAGATTCTCCAGCATCGGCAGTTCCTGCTATCTCTGGTTGACAAATGTTGCTTAGTGGTGAATCAGAACCTACTTTGTGTATCAGACAGCAGTGGCCTCAAGTCCCACTCTAGAAACTTGGGCACATACTCGGGCTGACACTCCAGTTCAGTCCTTGGGGAATGGTGCATTATCATGTGTGCTGGTTTTTGAATGAGACCTTAAATCATTAGACTTCCTGCCTTCTCAGTGGACATAAAAGATCTCCCACAAATATGAATATTTAGTTGACCGTTAGTATAGAAGCAGACAAGGGTGATGCCCCCAGAAACGTTTTTAATTAGAGTTGGGATAGCTAGCATGTTTATCCCTGCCTCTCTGTGCTCTTTTAGAAGGACTGAACAAGTCCAGGATAGCATCCTGGGATTCAACCATGAGCCAGTAAACCGAGCCGATCCATCTTAACTCAATGAGATCGATATTGGAACAGTACACTGGGTAATCCTAATGCTTCTCAACACTGGATGTAGTCCGGGAAGGATAATTGTGTGTGGCTGCTTATGAGCAGCAAACTGAAACATGATAAAATTGTAAAGCATGTGCTGATCTGGCCATTGGGATCACTGGAGATGATCTTGTATTCTTTGACTTATGTGTGCAGTTGAGAACTAGTTGTGGATTAGATAAGTATAACCCCTACAGAATAAAACAATCCAGGGAGGAATAGATTACTTATTGACTATTAACAACTGTAATATCAGTTTGAGAGAGAGTTGAATAGATTACCTGCTGATCCCTCGCCAATCAATATTACAGACCCTCTTCCTTAAGTTGGCAAGTTCCTTACTTTGCTTCTACTCAGTGCCCAAGGTTGAATTAGATACTGATTGAGTGGCTAACTGAAAGGTCCACTTGTCACCCTGTCACTTTGCATATACTCATTGCTGCAAGAGCTCAGGTTACGCTTCGTGTAAATTGAAGGCGTGGGAATTTCTCTTGGCTCATCCGAAGACGCAAAAAAGTTGATATTAATCTGAGATTTGACTTTTTCTTACAACTTTGTCTATTGCCTCTGCAACTGTTCTCTTTTCCAACTCCGAAGGTTGGGAGCTCGTTAGAGAAACTTGTTGACTCAAGTACATAATCCAGTTTGACACTCGGGCTGAATTTTCACTTTGGGAGTGGGAAACAGGAGCTAGAACTGTTTTCAACTCCTGAACTGGACACTAAAGGGAAACAGTCACTCTTTGGCTCTGCCTTCTGCAAGGACCATTCCCTTCGCCATTCCTTAGTTCGCATTACACTCCCCACCAACCACTCCAACCCACCTGGTACCTTTCCCTATTTCCATAAAAAATGCAATGCCTGCCCACACACCACCTCCCTCACCTCCATCCAGGGCCCTAAACAGTCCTTCCAGGTGAGACATAGCTTCACCTGCATCTCCTCCAACTTAGTCTATTACATCCAGTGCTCCCGACGTAGTCTTCTCTACATCGGTGAGACCAAACATAGACTAGATGACCATTTCACTGAGCATCTTCGCCTGGCCTGTAATGGCCAACGTAACCTCCCGGTCACCATCCATTCCAATTCCCCGCATGACCCCAACTCCCACTCCCCAACTCCCCCTCCCCCACTCCCCCTCTGAAAAGTCCGTCCTCAGCCTCCTCCAGTGTCACAGCGACTCAGTCCTCAAATTTGAAGAACAGCACCTTATCTTCCACCTGGGCACCCTACAGCCTGGAGGACTCAACACTGACTTCTCCAATTTCAAATAACTTCTCCACCCACCCCTCAGTTCTCTGAAATGTATTGTTTAAATGCGAGATGTATAACCGCCAAGGCAGATGAATGTAGAGCTTGGATAAGTACACGGGACTATGATGTGGTAGCCATTACAGAAACTTGGTTAGGGGCAGCCCGGTGGCTCAGTGGTTAGCCCCGTTGTGTCACAGTGTCGGGGACCCAGGTTTGATTCCATCCTTGGGCCACTGTCTGTGTCGAGTTTGCACGTTCTCCCGGGTCTTTGTGGGTTTCTTCTGGGTGCTCTGGTTTCCTCCCACAGTCCAAAGATGTGCAGGTTAGGTGGATTAGCCATGCTAGATTGCCCCATAGTGTCCAGGGATGTGTAGGTTAGGTCGATTAGCCATAGGAAGTGCAGGGTTACAGGGATAGGATGGGGGTCTGGGTAGGATGCTCTTCGGAGGGTTGGTGTGGACTCGATGGGCCAAATGGCCTGCTTCCACACTGTCAGGATTCTGTTCTTATAGAAGGGAAGGACTCTCAGCTCAACGTTCTGGGATTTAGATGTTTCAGGCATGATAAGAGATGGGTGTAAAAGGGGTGGGGGTGTTGCATTGCTGATTAAGTAGAAGTTTGAAGTTGTACTGAGAGAGGACACCTTGGAGGGTTCATCCAGCCAAAGCTATATGTGTAGATGTCAGGAATAAAAAAGGTGCAATTACTCTGATGGGGTTATACTATAGGCCTCTCAATAGCCAGTGGGAGATAGTGGAATAGCAGGGAGGGGAAAGCAGAGCAGGGAACGATGTAAAATTAACAGGGTAGTTGGTGTACCTGTGTGCAGTTCTGGTTGCCACACTACAGGGAGGATCTTGTGGCTTTGGAGAGAGCAAGAGAGGTTTACCAGGATGTTGCCTCACTTGCAGTGTATTACCTATAAGGAGAGGTTAGACAAACTTGGATTGTTTTTGCTAGAATGTCAGAGACTGAGGGGGTGACCTGATAGAAGCATATAAAATTGTGAGGGGGCGGATAGTCGGGGTCTTTTTTTCCAGGGCGTGACTATCCGCCCCCTCACAAATGTCAAATCCTAATGGGCCTAGGTTTAAGGTGAGATGGGGAAAGTTTTTAAGGAAGATAAATAACTCCATGAGGGCCGTTATCATGTCACCAAGTCACCCTTCATTTACATGTGCATAGTACATGACACTGATCTAACCAGCTCCGGGCTGGCTCCTAGAGTGAGCTGAATCTGTGTTTATATCTGTCAGCCAGGGCTCCCTAATTGGACCAAGTTAACAGCTACAATCAGGGAACTCATATTCTATGAGGTCCATCTGGCTGACCTTGTTCCAGTCACTACAGGAGATATGCGAGGCAAGTTTTTACACAGAGGGTGGTAGGTGCCTGGATAATGCTGCCAGGGGAGATGGCAGAATTGGACAGAAACATTCAAGTGGCATTTAGATAGGTGCATGAACTGACAGGGGATAGATGGATATGGACCATATACATACAGATGGGATTAGTTTAGAATGGCATCTTGGTTGGTGCAGACGTGGTGGGCTGATGGGCCTGTTTCTGTGCTAAACTGTTCTAGGTTCTACATTGTTTGTAGAAACTGGACCAACTGGATAATCTCCCCTCCCACCTCCCCTTACAAACCCTAACAGGGCTTTTGATGAGACTAATTGGATGCTCGTCATGGAGGTGGGCAGCTTGTGCCAGACTCAAAAACCTACCTTGCCCAAAATATTTGATACTGGTGTCTGGAATGGGAAGCCAAGCATTTTCAGGGCCCTTTTTGTCCTAGTTCACACCTCAGCAGCTCCTGATAATCCTTCCTTAATGTAGTACATTGAACCAAACCATATCTGCTCACTCGCACTTTTTAAAAAAAAGATTTCAAGATTTGTTTTTAAAAGGAATTGTAATTTCTCTTGATGTCTTTGCCTGAATTTATCTGTTAATCCATACCTCCAAGGCTAATTACCTTGTAATCTTTCTTATCGCTGTTTCCTATCTTGGCATATTTGTAAATTGCCAAATACACTTGTAATTTAAAGTGATTTCATGAATGGCAATACTTTGGATCAATGAAGAGATGGGAAATGTGCCGTATATATGCACACTTCTTACTTGGGTGTTTCATTTTAATAAATAGTTCCAGTAAATTAACAAACTAATACATTTGGCATGGTTGCTTTAACCAGTGAACTAAAAATATCAGAGTTGCAACCTGTAGGGCCTCCACCATTGTACATCATTGAGCTCTTTCTGTCGGGCTGAGGAATAAAGTTTGGATGGATTGAAATATCTAGACAATATCATTTTTCTCTAACCAACTGTGTTTAGAAGCTGAGATAACAAAGTGTGGAGCTGGAGGAACACAGCAGGCCAGGGAACCTCAGAGGAGCAGGAAAATTGACGTTTCGGGACGGGACCCTTCTTCAGAATTTCTG